TTAGAAAATATTCACTTAATGCTAAAGAAAGCAGCAAAGGAGGACTAGAGGAACACAACAACAATCAAGCCTACAGAAACCAACACTAAATAAAGACATGTGGTGCATCTGTTATCCCAGCTACTTGGGAGTCTGAGGAAGGAGGCTCGAAACCTCAAAGCCAGCCTCAGCAACTTAGAGAGATCCTGTCTCAAAATTAATTAAGAGGGATTGGGGGTGCAGTTCAGTGGTAGAGCGCTTGTCTACCCTGTGTGAGTCCCTGAGTTTAATTCCCAATACCACAAGAAAAAGAAAAGGACAGAAAGAGAAAAAGAAGAAATGAAGCATAGGAGAAAGTCTATGTGGCCTTGGGTTTGGCCACAAAAGAAAAAAACTGATAAGCTGTACTTCACCAAAATTGAAAACTCTGTTCTAGGACACTAGAAAGAAAATGCAAAGCTAAGCCATACACTGGAGAAGATATTTGCAAAACACAAGTCTGAACTTAGAGCCAATATACACCACCAACACTTTAAAATGAACAACAAGAAAACAACCAACCTGCTGGGCGCAAGGAGGATCATAAGTTCAAAGCCAGCCTCAGCAGCTTCGAGAGGCCCTTAACAACTGGGCAAGATCCTGTCTCTAAATAAAATACTAAAAGGGCTGGACATGTGGCTCAGTGGTTGAACACTCCTAGTCTCAATCCCCAGCACCAAAAAAAAGAAAGAAAGAAAAAGAAAACAGCCAACGTGTCAGAGGAAGAACCAGTGTTTTTCCTCTTCGCAGACCCTTAACACAGCACAGAACACTTTTGACCAGATGTGCAGGGGGGGGTCTCCCCCTTCTCCAGGCAATTCTTTTCTCCTGCAGACACCACCTGGGTCTCCTGTAACTCAATTCAGTTCTGACACTTTCCACCTGGAGTTTTAGGTTAAGGGCTCAGTCCCACAAGGCTGCCCCCACTACAGCCACAAATAAAAAGCCCCAGGTTGTTCTACCTGCACTTCTGACCTACTGGCCCTATGTCAGGGCTTCTTAAGAACCCCTCCTTGATTTCAATTAATTTGTTAGGACAGGACACAGAATTCAGGCAAACACATTTACTAGTTTATTATAAAGGATATCACAAAGGATACAGAGGAAAAGCACGTATAGGGCAAGACGTGGGGACATGCATAGAGCTGCCTGCCCTCTCATGTACACCCCCCTCCAGGAACCTCCAAGTGTTCAGTAATCGGAAAGCTCTCCATACCCTGTCCTTTTGATTTTTTTATGGAGCCATGACCAATTACATCATTGGCCACTGGTGACCAACTCAAACTTCAGTCCCCACTCCCTCCCCAGAGGATGGGAGAGTGGGGTTTAAAATTCCAACCCTCAAATCATGCTTTGGTCTTTCTAGTGACAGCTGATAGCATCCCATCCCCCAAACACCAGTCATCTCATTAGCATACAAAAGACACTCTTATCACTCTGGAGATTCCAAGGGTTTTAGGAGCTGTGTGCCAGAAAACAGGGACAGAAACCAGATATATATTTCTTATTATATCACAGTATCACACAATCCAATTAAGAAATGGGCAGAAGATCTGAACAGATTTCATCAAAGAATACATACAGATGGCCGATAAGGATAGCAAAAGAGGCTCAATATCATTTGAGGGAATTTCAAGTTAAAAACACGATACCACTAAATACCTATTGGAATAGCTAACTTTTTCTTTTTTTTTAACTGACAATACCAAATTCTAGTGAAGATGCAGAGCAACAGGAACTCTCACTCATTGATGGTAGAAATGTAAAATGACTCCTACTTTGGAAGACAGCTTGGTAATTGTTGTTTTTTCCCCCAGTACTGGTGATCCTCCCCACCCCCACCATACTGGGGATTGAACCCAGGACTTAAGGTATGCTAGGCAAGCTGGGATGTACCCCCAGCTCCAGTTTGGTAGTTTTTATACAACTAAACATAATCTTACCAAACAATTCAACAATCATACTCCTAGATATTTACTCAATTGATTTGAAAACTTAGGTCGGAACTGGATACATCAGCGCATGCCTGTAATCCCAATTACTTGGGAGGCTGTGGCAAGATCTCAAGTTCAATTCTAGACAACATAGCAAGAGCCCATCTCAAAAAGAAAGAAAACTTATGTTTATACAAAAACCTACACACAAATATATATAGCAGGTTTGTTTATAATCAAGAAAAACTAGAAGCAGCCAATACATCCTTCAATAAGTGAATGAATAAACTAAGGTACATCTATACAGTGAAATATTTTTCAACAATAAAAGGAAATGAGTTATCAATCAGTGAAAAGACCTGAAGGAACTTTACATGTGTTTTGGTTTTTTGCTTTTGGTTTTTTTTTTTTTTTTTTTTTGGTACTAGGGATTGAACCCATTTTTTGTTTGTTTAAATTTTGAGACAGGTCCTGAGTAACTGCTAAGTTACTCAGGGCCTCACTAAATTGCTGAAGTTGGCTTTGAACTTGTCCATGCCCAGCTTTACATGCTTATTGTTAAGTTAAAGAATCCCGTCTAAAAGTTCCATACTGTATGATTCCAATTATATGACATTCTGGAAAAGGCAAAATATAGAGATGGTAATGTGATGAACGCTTGCCAGGAACTTGGAAGGAGGGGATGGATAAATAGGTAAAGCACATGGGATCTTTAGGGAAATAAAGCTATTCTGTATGATATTGTAATAAAGTCATGGTAGATACACGACATCATGTATTTGTCAAACCCCACAGAACTTTACAGCACGAAAGTGAATGTTAATACTTACAATTAAAAAATCATCTGGGAGGGCCGGGGATATAGCTCAGTTGGTAGAGTGCCTGACTCTCATGCACACAGTCCTGGGTTCAATCCCCACCACAAAAAATTAAATAAATAAATAAAAATCATCTGGGAGGTAGAAGAATACTGGGAAAGCATGCAGCCTATGACAAGAGCATCTACTTGTATTATAGATTCATGAAACAATTTTATGAAGGGAACAGACAGAAAAGGGCACTGTCCTAAGTACCTCTGGAAATGAGTGGCGCCTATAAGAATAAAGGGAAAGAAACGTATGTAAACACTGTACTCTGGTGGATTATCTTCTTTCCTATGGCATTTGGGTTAACCATTCTGATATTGCTACATATGTATACTGGAATTGAACAATTAAGTAAATGAATGGTGGATGGTGGGAGCCAGGCTTCTTCCTGTTTGAGGGGGGAATTTACCAAGGAACACAGGAAAGTGGCTAGAGTGGTCCATGTAATGATGGATTAGAGTCAGAGACATCAGTAAGAACTCATGTGTAGCTTAATATGACTGTAGATGGTTCTACATAGAAATATTTATAGATATGCATGTCAAGGGAGCTAGTACTCACACAACTATATCTTGGCTTTGTTGGGTAAGGGTTATGCTTCCTCCTTGAGGGTGGGGTATTTTTATATATATTCAGTATGGCCAGAGACAACAGTATGATTGACAAGATAGTCTGGGACTTGCCAGATGTGGTGGCACACACCTGTAATCACAGTAACTGGAGAGCATGAGGCATGAGGATCCTAAGTTCAAGGCCAGCCTGAGCAACCTAGTGAGACTCTGTCTCAAAATAAAAAATAATAATGGCTGGGGACAAAGCTCAGTAGTAAAGCACCCCTGGGTTCAATCCCCAGTGCCAAGAAAGAAAAAAGAAATCAAGCCATTGGTAAGCAGTCAACAGCTCTTTACATATCCCATTCTAGTGTGTTCTAAAGCTGACAGGACCCAGGATTATTTAACCCCTGATTTAGGCTCTTTGGTGGCCTTGGTGGGGAGTATGTAGTTGTGCTGTGAAGCTACAGTGCTAAGGAAGACCAAGAGTGTTGGGCATTAAGCCCCAAGTATGTTAGAAGTCATGAACTTTGTGTGATCACTGGAACCTTCACAGGTTGGAAAATTAACTCTCCATGAAGGCCTGGGTACACCCCCCCAGCTGCTCCCTGGAAAGGTGGGATGCATAAGACCATGTGGGTCCTGCAGTGGGCCATGGGGGAGCAAGCAGAGTAAAACATTCTGAACCAGGAGACATAAATTTGGCTTCTTGAACTAAACTCTGCCTATGAACCTAACAACTTATTTCTTTATATGGTGGTCGGGGAAAAGAAAGAGATGTATGTTCATCCTATTAACAAATAGGCAAGTGCTAGATAAGGGATTTCAAAGTATGGCCAGAGGACAACTTGAGGTCCTTGAGACTCTTTGACAGGGCCTGCTGGTCCTCTTTTCAACTAGTTACGTCATCTGCCAGAGTCCAGAATTTCTTTCAAATATTTCCTCCAAAACAGCCTAACATAAGATTCCTGTTATCCTTTATTAAGCCAAAGAAAATTTCGAAAATATAAAATGATTACACTCTTCTCACTTTTTAATTTAAAAGGGGGGGGGGGGACACGTTTGGGGATGTAGCTCAGTGGAGAGCACTTGCCTAGCAAGCACAAGGCCCTGGGTTCAATCCCTAGCACTGAAAGAAAATCAAAAAATCATTTGTGTTAAAATTTAAAGGGTTTTGTTATTTTAAAAACAAATTATTGTAAACATTTGTTGCAATTCTAATATCGTTAGCAATAAGATTCAGGCAAAAGCTCTTTGGGACGCTCCAAATTTGGGGGCGTGCAAAGGGTCCTGAGACCCAAGGTCAGGGAACCGGGGAACCAAGCAAACGAGGCGTCTCACTCTGCGCTGCCTCGGACTCCTCCAGGCCCCTCATAAGACGCGCGCGTTCCGAGTGCCACTGCGGGGGGAGGCGGGTTTGGTTTTCCCGGGCTGAAGTCCAGTCACTCGACCTAACGTGGTACCCGCTTTCCGGGTCCACGCAAGGCCCGCCCGGGGAGGCACCCGCAGCGGGCCATCTCTGCGGGATTCCCGCGAGGGCTCCGAGGCGCTGCCCGGGCCAGTGGGGCTGTGGCGGTGACCGCCCGTCCGAGACCCCCGGCCGGCTGCGGGGACTGGGGACCTGCACTCACAGCCTCGGCAGCGCCGCCGCCGCCGCCGCCGCCGCCGCCTCCGTCACGCGCGCCGCCCTCCGCAGCAGACGTAGCGCCATCTTCCCGACGTGCGCGCCCCCTCGCCCACCTGGCTCCGCCCCCTTCTCTTAGCCACGCCCCTCAACCGCTTCCCACTGCGCTTTAACTTGGCTCCGCCCTGTAGCCACGCCCCTCTGCGCACGTGCCCCACCCTGCGAGTCCCTACTGGCCCTAGCCAAGGTCACCCTCCGGAACTAGTCTGGCCTGTGCTGGCCCTCAGGACTTTCTTCCCCGCGTCCCTGGGAAACTGAGCATGGGTCCCACACGGGTGTCTCCACCTGAGCGGTTTCTCCCAGGACCGAATCCAAATCACCCTCGCTTCTGGGTTTAATTGACTGTTGAGAGAATTTGCATTTTTCCATCCACAACAGGTTAAATTTTCTAGAGATTTCTTTATTTTGCCAAAATACCATCTAACACAGTTTGTGAACCCGACATGTGCATGCCTTGGTTAGCAATTTAAGAGTGGTCAAAGAAAATGCGGGAAGACTCCACTCTGGAACATATAGTACATGCCAATAATAGGGTCAGAGCAGCTATTGGCTGCTCTCTGGGCAGAGACATGCAGGCTGAGACTGGGGGCAAACACAACCCGTCACTCTCTGGCCTGCCGGCCATCCAGCGGTGGCGAGAATGCTTTAAGGTGTTCAAACAGGCCTTTTTCTCCTCCTTACTGAGATCAGCAGTGCCCCCACCTATTGTCTGGCCCATTCTCCTCCCTACCTACTATCTTTTCTTTACCTTCTAAATCTGCATTTTTCTTTTTCAGCTGTTGCTACTTTCATCATTTCATCATGCTAAATTCATCATCTGAATTTTCACTGAAAACGTTTCTCAGAATTGTGCAAACCTGAATCTTGCCCTTGGTACAGGTGTAACAGTTTAAACAAATAGAACCTGTGCCACCAGAGTGGGTTCCAAGTTCTTTGGGAAAGTCCATGTGACTGGGAACTTGGATGCTGCTATCTGCTGGACAAAAGTGTTATTGTACTGGATACCAACAGGAGAGATTGCTTCCACCACCCTTCACCCCAGGCCTCTCCTGCCTACTCCACTAAGGATCAGTTTTTCCCAGTGCTTTCCCAGCCACACAGAAGCAAAAATCAGAAACACTCATATTATCTTTAATTAAAATTTCAATATTTTGTTCATAATGCAATTTTCCATTATCTTGATTTTCAGAATATTGAAATATAACTTAATTACTGAGGTTTTGGAGGCTGCCCCTTAATTTTTGCATCTGAGGCCAGTGCCTCACTGGACTCTCCCTGGTCCTGACCCCATTCTAATTACCTTCATCTCCCTGGATTGTTCCAAGCCTGCTTGCTTTCATTCCTCACTCCTACAATCAATCTTTTGCCCTACAGTCTGGCTGATCTTTTATTGCATTATTTTTCAGGATTGGGCTTTGGACCTATGGACTTGCACACTGAGCACACACTTTATCTCTTTATTTATTTTGAGAGAGGGTCTCATTAAGTTGCCCAGGCTGGCCTCAAACTTGTGGTCTTGCTGCCTCAGCCTCACAAGTAGTGGGATCACAGATGTGGGCCGCCACACCTGGCAGGCTGACCTTTTAAAAGCATTACTGGTGCAGTTCACTAGCTGTGTGACTTTGGACAAGTCACTTACCGTCTCCATGCTTCAGTTTCCTCTTCTATAAAATGAGGGTATAGGTTGTATTTAGCCTCATGGGGTTGTTATGAGCATAATTGGATAAACACATCCAATTATGTTGGGTTATCATGGATATCTATCTATATATAGGAAGGAGAGAGTGAGGGGGGTGTTTATAAGCTGATCAAGTGTTGGATAGTGTTAACTGTTCCTCATTACTATTATCACTACATTGATATCCTTCTTAAATTGCTTTGGTGGCTTCCAATAGGACGCATTTAGAATAAAATCCAAATTCTTTACCACAATCCTCCAGGCCCCAGGAGGTCTGGCCCCTGCAGGTTTCTCCAACCTTCCCTCTAGTTGCCCCCTGACTTCCTTTCATGTTGTATTTTGCTTGCAGTGCTGGGGATTGAACCCAGGGCCTCACACATGCTAAGCACACTCCACCTCTGGACTACACCTGCAGCCCATCTTTTGAGACATCTTTCCATGTCTTTTTTTTTTTTTTTTTTTTTTTTTAGTACTGGGAATTGAACTCAGGGGCATTGGCCACTGAGTCACATCCCCAGTCCTGTTTTGTATTTTTTGGGGGGTGGGGGGGTACAGGGGATTGAACTCAAGGGCACTCGACCACTGAGCCCCACCCCCAGCCCTATTTTGTATTTTATTTAGAGACAGGGTCTCACTGAGTTGCTTAGCACCTTGCTTTTGCTGAGACTGGCTTTGAACTCCCAATTCTCCTTCCTCAGCCTCCTGGAGCCACTGGGATTATAGGCATGTACCACCGCTCAGTTCTTTCCATGTCTTTTAAGTTCACTAAGCTCTCACCTACTATGGGGCCTTCACACGTGCTACTCCCCATCTCCAGATGCTCATACTGCACCTTCTCATCCTCCAGGTTGGTCAGCCTGTATACTACCCACTCACAGGGGGTGAGCTAACAATCTCTCCCCCATCTAGTTCATGGTCACAGCAACTAAATCATAGGTCTCACAATGTCTGTTTGTGTGTTTGTGAATTTACTTTCCCTAGTGGTTCTCAGAGGGTGTGGGGGGGGTGGGATTGTTCCCCTCCTATAAGGTGGGTTTTGGGGGTGCAGTATTGTTCTCTTATGAGCAGGACTAGAAATGTGCTAGGCAGTCACGCATGGAAAAATAAATGCTAGTTGCTGGTCTAGACCATAAGCTCTTTGAAAGCAGGGACCTTATATGTCTTGTCACTGCTGGGAAGTGACTACCCAGTGAGCAGGTGTCCAAAATATACAAGGTGAAAATGCCCCACCAGCTTCATTATAATTCTGAAAACTGCAAGATGTCCTTATTAAAAATGCCTGGACCAGCGCAGAGGTGCAAGCCTATAATCCCAGCAGGAGGATCTCAAGTTCAAAGCCAGCCTCAGCAAAAGGCAAGGCGCTAAGCAACTCAGTGAGACCCTGTCTCTAAATAAAATACAAAATAAGGTTGGGGATGTGGCTCAGTGGTTGAGTGCCCACGAGTTCAATCCCCAGTACCCAAAAAGAAAAAAAAAATGCCTGGAACCTAAAGTAGATCCTACAGTGACTTTTTTTGCTAACTATTCAATCTCTCAGATATTGTTGGAAGCAGTTGCAGGTGATTGTGGTTTTGTTGAGCTTCTCCACAAAATTACTAACGTGTGGGTTTTAAGAACTATTTTCTAATGCTAGTGTATGTTAAAATAAAGCGTTAGTCACTTTCTCTTTGCAGTGTGTGGATTTCTGGAGGCTCTATTTCCAGAAAGAACAAATAAAGGGATCCAGAGCTCCTCATTTGAGGCTAATCAAATCTGTTCTTACAGTCTCCAAAACCAAAAAGAAAATCGAAGCACCTATTTTTCCAAGGGCATGTGAAACTGAGCAAGGTGAATGCTTCCATGAGAGGCATTATTCAACAGACTGCGGTAGGAGCCTGGCAGAGTTTGGGGAAATAAGGGGTTGGGGAGGTTAGACACATCATACCTCTAGAGCATAATGGATTTGGGTGGCAACAGTGGGGACCAGAATAATCAACCAACTCTGATCATTATTGAAGCTGGGTGGTGGTTATGTCAGGGCCCAGGACACAATATTCCAACATACAGTGCCTTGGTATATTGAGTACTCTGAATTGAGGGAAAATGGTAGGGCCCCAGAGCAATGGCTCTCTGACATTCTCCTGTCCTATCTTCTGCCCCTGCCAGCCCCACAAAGTGATTTACAAAATCCAGAATTCCTCTTCTCCAAGGTAGCTTTTGAAAAATAAAACCCCTCTCCCCATAAAACCTTGTGAGGATGGCCTTAGGCCTGAGCCTAAGCAGCTCCATTTTTAAAACTCCAGTTTGAAACCTGCAGTTTCCCCAGGCACATCCAACAGATCCCTCCTGAATGGCCACAAACAAGTTACTTCCCCTCACCTAGATAACAGAGTGAAGCCTCTGGCAGGCTGTCCTAGCCTGAGGAGAAGATCAGGGTAGAGACCACCAGACCAGATGTTTCTGACCCCAGGGTAAATGATGTCATGGAGAAATCTGGTGGTAGCTGATAAGGATTGAAAAGGGGGGTCAAAAGCCCCCAAATTTAGTATAAATAATAGAGCTAATGAACAGGGATTCAGCCAGCCGAAACAAGGATGCACTCGAGCTGGAGAGCCTGATAAGGACCCGACATCCCATTACTTGTCATGGTTTCCTGATCCTCTGCGTGATCCTCACGGCTTTCAAACTCTACTGTCTTGTCTGGACCTTAGTGAGAGCCTCAACTTCTCCCTTGGACCCTCTCCTTGACACTCCATGACAGGAAAAGCCTGCTTTGGTTCCTGACCTGATCACAGCGGTCTGAGAGTGCTTCTGCTGGACATAAAGCCTAAGGCTTGAGACTTTTGAACTTAGCACGAAGAAGGAATGTCTGTCATTAGCCTGTCGTGGTTAAGTGTGTTTTCAGTGCTTAGAATTAATCTAGAATTGTTTGCTGTGAATTAATTAATCTAGAATTGTTTACTGTGAATTGATTATGTCTATTGCAGTGCCCAGCATTAAGGATTGTCATTTTCTTGATTAAGAACCTATAAGTGAAATTGTATTGAGTAATTGAGTGAATAAAGCATTGAAAGGGGCAGAAGCGTGTGGACATTCTTTATTTCTCCCCTCAACTGCATATGTCGCAATTTTGCCCCCTCACAACAAACCTACACTCTCTCTCTCTTCTCCTTTGAAGACCCTCATTTCAGAGGGGTCCTGCCCTAAACCCATAAGGAGAGACTGCCACACAGAAAGATCAAGAAGAATCTGGACAGATAGGTTTGCTGGGTTCCCCCATCTATTGCCTTTAGATCATATCCTCTGTCCAATCACATCCCTCCATGGCTGTCCAATCTCTTGGAACCTAAACATAAAAACAAAGTTTTGGGGTCTTTGGGTCTTCATATCTGAAGTCTCCTACC